CATATGTAGTAAAATGTTCTGCTGGGCACATATTTTGGTTGCAATCCTTTTATAGCAGAAATGTCTGTTAAGAATGTTATGCGTTACATTGTTACCAGATTTATTAAGTGGCCTGAAAAATCCAGTCTGTCATAAACTTGGAAGCGCTGGGACAGTCAGTGGTAGTGTTAGTTAGTTAGTTAGTTAGTTAGTGGATTAGCCAATGTTTCTCAAATGGTGTTATTTAAAAAATATTAGTCATGCATAATTCTTAAAATAACTATACTATAGGTTCAATAAAATGTTTTAATTTAAGTTCGATAAACCATTATAAATTCAATATTTTCACTGCCCACCTTCCAACAAGACAAAGATCCTCAGTGAAGCACAAACTCATGTTTCTCAATCAATTTTAAGTTTGTGCAACTTCAATGCCTTCTTAGTTATTATTGCGTGATAACGGAACATTGGTTTGTCATGAATTTAGTTTTTGTGCTTGTCAGGGGAACTTGGCTGAAAAACTATTTCAAAGGAGGTACATAAGATTAGATTTTATTAGAATCCATATTAGCTAATGCAGAACATCAGCTACTCTTCCTTGGGTCCGCGTAAAATATTAAAAAACAAAAATGTTACAACAGACAGACGCTTGCATATAAAACACCCAAAAATGATAATGAACACTATTCTCTTTGAAAACGTTGTCGTTGTTGTTGTTGTTGTTGAACACATTTTTTTCATATATACATTATTGAGTTTGAAAAGCAGGGAATATATAATGGTATCTGGTTGCATAAAAAGAAAATGAACTGCATATAGTGGTGTGTTAACAGTTTTCCTAAAATTAGATTTAAAAAAAATCACCACGCTTAAACACAGCCCTAATAACTAGATTGTCACATGTAGCTTCATTAAGATGGCATAGAAGCTTTTTGGTTTGTAGTAGTAGTAACAGTAACAGTAACTTCTGTTAGGAATTGGCGCTATATAAATAAAATTGAATTGAATTTTTATCCTGAGTTTTCACCTGCATTGAGCTCAGTGCAGTCACAGAGCTGCATTTGGAGAGAAGTATCTTTTTTTTAAACTTTTTTTATATATGTATATATATTTTTAAAAGCAGATTTAGATGATTTTAACAGCTTGTTTAAGTAAAGCGCCGTGTCAGCTTTTGGAATATTGGAATACACGGAATTATTAAACCATGTTCTGATTTCATAACTTGTTTCTTGCATCTCATTGGCAAATGAGGAAAGCAGAGGTTATCCATGAACAGCATTTGCCACCCACCCCCCGGTGCACAGCAAGGTCTTGTAGAACACAGATTTGCATGTGAGAACTTGATTCATTCACCAGGAACTGAGATAAAGGCTGTTTAGAGTCAAACTCATTTTATTTTCGAGAGGAAGATTTTATTTATTTTTTTGTAATTGTGGATCCCTTGGTTTTTATCATCACACTTGAGCCATCTTTTCTCTTGCTCTCTCAATAGTCTCTGCCCCATCCTCCCACCACCATCTCCCACTCCACCCTCAGCAGACACACTACACTGCCTGTCTGGCTAATAGAGGGTGAAATGCAGGTGTGTATGGGAAATGCCTGCAATACTGTAGCGCATTGACAGGTTATTTTGTTGGCCTCTGCCTAATTAGTGGCATAGTGGATGCACCCCGCTAAGCTTTAGTGCTTTATGTTCGTACCAGTCTGCTCTAATTTCCTCGCGCCTTTGATATCAGCCCTGAGATTGACGGTTCGCACATAAAGAGGAACACCAGACAACGATAGAAAACTCAGTGGAAACAAGTCCCCAACCCCCCAACCCCTTTAGCCCCATGTCTTTGCATTTTACCCCCCAGGTCTGCAGATGTACAGAGGGACGTGATGGATGGTTTTATTTTGCTAACTCAACATAAATTGGCTTCCATGTCAGCAAAGTGAATGTTATTGCTTCATTGAGAGAAAGGAGCATATAAGGTCCAGACCCTTTGCTCATTTGTCTCTGAGGATCCTCTGATGGTTCAGTCAGTTATCACTCCAGTAATCAATTACAGCTGTCTTTTGTTTTGTATTGGACCTGAAAGTAGCTCTGCTGTTCAAAGGAGAGATTAGACCTGTTGAAACCCTGTCTGTATTTTAATTATTGCTCTTGAAGCATGCTTTACATGAGATATACAGCTTACTGTGATTCCATTGGTTGATTGGTTTCATTGACATTTTGCAGGGGTAGGGAAAAAAATCAATTCACATTAATATCTAGATTATTAGGGACCGAGCCAGTATCAACTGGAAGGTCCCTATTGTTTTGGCTATGTTTATTATTATTATTATTATTAAGAACGTTGACTGCGTTTTTGACCCCCTGAACATATACTTCGCGTGAATTTTATTTGGCAAATTTGTCAGGCCTGGTGAAAGCATTGAAATTCTATGGTCGCTTTGGGGTCGGCCAGTAGGAAGGCCACTAGGTGGCACTACTTTTAAGCAAAGTTCAATAGGCTAATAACTCCCACATCGTTTGTCTCACATTCAAAAACCTTATATCCATGCGTTCGGTGAATGGAGCTGCATCTCCCTATATAGGCCACGCCCACTTCCACCTGGATTTTTTTCCCATTAGAGCGCGAAATGTCCAAAAACTACGTTTTCGTGTTCCATCCAAGCACTTTTGTCCGAATCTCAAAAAACTTTTCGCGTAGCATCTGGAGACTGTCCTGGCAAAAAGAGTAATTTAAATTATTTTGATATTTCTAAAAATAAGCACTTTTTGGATTTTTCGTCAAAAAAGGAAGTGGACCATTTCTCCACATTGGTATGTCCGATTGACACCAACTTTGGGTCAATAGTTCCTTATGTTGTCATTAGGCATCGTGCACAATTTCAGGCCATTGCCACAAGGTGGCACTCTTTTAAAATTAAGAGGTTTATATCTCCACATCGTGTGATTAAAACGAAACTTGGTACAATGATTGCCCATGGCTCTTTGAGGCTCTCTTAAAAAGGAGAAAAAAAACATGCCACTGGGTGGCGCTCTGGTGGCAGGGTAAATCATTCTGCGGAGACCGTAATAGTTATGAATATGAAATTCACAGGACACGTGTAGACTTGTGCCTGTAGCTCACATACCAAAAATCGTGTTTGTAGGTGACCTACAGTATTTCAACAATGCAGCCCCGGCGCCAGGGTTGGTTTCACCAATATGTATGAAACTTTGTTAGCACGCATAACGTGCTGAGATCTACAGAAAAGCCTCTTGGACCCAAGTTGACCATTTTGAATTCCGTGGTCGCTTGGTGAATTTTCGCCTTGTATTTGAACAAACTCCTCTTAGGGAATTTATTGGATCTGCTTCAAAATTGGTCAGTACAGTCAAAAAATGTAGCTGACTGAACGCCTTGCTATTTGCGACTGTACGTTGAAGGGCGTGTCCGTGGCGTGCCGTCAAAGTCGGCCATTTTGAATTCCGTGGTCTTGTATTTGAACAAACAAACTCCTAGGCAATTTATCAGATCTGCTTCAGTATTGGACAGTACACTTGAAAAATGTTGCTGAATAAAAGATGTGCTATTTGTGACTGTATGTTGAAGGGCGTGTCTGTGGCGTGCCATCAAAGTTGGCCATTTTGAATCGAATGTCAAATTGTGATGTCATTTCTGGCGTTTCAGGGCTTCAATTTGAACTAACTCCTCCTGCAGATTTCATCGGACTGACTTCAAATTTGATCACTGCAATTTAGACACATTGGTGATCAAAAGTTAATCAAATATTTATTGTGCGTCCAACGTTTTGTCCGTGGCGTGGCGCTGAATTTCCAAGCTTTGCAATGAAGAATCTCGCTATGAAAGTGTAAGACTTTTGCACAGTGTCTGAAACGTGTGACAATGTAGAGCGGTCTCCCTCAGCTTCCGGCAATGAAGGCTTAGGCATGGGCTGACGTGGTGTGGCGCCTGAGTTGCGTGGAGTGCGAGGTCCCGCCCAATGCTGCTTGCAGCTTTAGTTTTGATTTATTTTTTGCAAATTTTCATGTTTTTTTAATTGATGATTTTTATTCCTGAAACAGTTACCGATAACTAGCTACCACTTATGCCGTTAGCTTGATGCTAACACATCATGGGAATTAGCATTGCGATTGTGGTAATGTTATGTTAATAATCCGCCTACATGCTTACCATAATACATGTGCTCATACTTAAAGGCATATTTTCTACTCTGTCCTTGTCTGTGAAAACAAACTAATAGCTGGTCACTTTAAATTTGCTTACTCAATTTGAGTTCGACATCAAAACTGAAGCCAAGACATCTCGATCGCCCTATGGTGGTTGACTTTCGCAGTAGCTATATGAATCATTGTCACATCAAATTTGTTCCACATTAAGCTTGTACAACCTATTTAAGCTTATTTTCATTTGAGTTTCAGTCATTTCAGTGACTGGTTGTTCTGTGCTTCTGTTATTATTAAGAAGTTTGGCAGAATTTCTATCAGTATTTTTATGGCGCATTTAGCAAGAAATTAACTCTACTTTGTGGATGGATATGAGGGAGCTTTAAGTGAATGGCTGTTTCATCTCATTGATAATAAGACATACAAAGCTGCTGAAGTTCAGGTTAATGTGTAGTTTTCATTATGTTCCAGTATGTTCTTTCACTTCATCTTGCTGCAGTTATTACAGTTTAATGTTGAGGAAGGCCACAGGCTATTTCCATTAACCTTCATCAGAACTAACCACGTGCCTGTGTAATTGTACTCCCATCAAGTGAATTTCATGCATTTTTCCTGACATTTGCCTGCCTTTGACATTTGGGCCTGGAAGTGCATGAAAGCTGTTTAAATCTCACGTGAAAGGTCAGCTTGTGATTATTAACAGTGTTGGCTGTAAGGAAGGCTTCTTATTCCTGTAGTGATTGCTGGCTTTCAGCTGCACAAAGAAGTGGCAATATTGTTAGTATTTCCTGTGTTATTTCATTGTCCTGTGCCCTGTTGAAATAAAGGAATTAATGCACTAAGTAACTCTCCTCTCTTCCAGCCTACTCTACTGTGTCAGGTGTAAATGGACCCTTGGTGATCCTGGATAATGTAAAGGTGAGGCTAAGTTCTATTTTTATAAAACAATATTCATGAATGAGTTCAGTTCTCGTATTACTACAAATATTACTGTGCTTTGATTATATCCACTTATTATGGAAATCCATTTTGAGAATATATTAATGAGTTTGAGATTGGCGACAGTACCACTCAACAAACTATAACAGAAGTGTTTTCAGATGACAATGATCATATTTGCAGATGTACCCTTGTATTAATGGTATAAATGTAGATTTGGAGCAGCTGTAGTGAAACTGTGTTAATTCTCTTTGCTCTAGTTCCCCAGATATGCTGAGATTGTTCACCTGACCCTTCCTGATGGCACCAAGAGGAGTGGGCAGGTCCTGGAGGTGATTGGAAGTAAAGCAGTTGTCCAGGTGAGAAACAGAATCTACAATAGCTCAGGGTGCCCCGGTGGCTAACCGGGTAGAGCAAGTACCACGTGTATAGTTTTTGCCCCAGCAAGCGGGGTCATTTTCTGCATGTGTTTGAGAGTTATGCTGTTGTAAATACTCAGTAAAGCACTAGTTCCCAACCTTTTTTTATTTGGTAAACGGATGAACCCTGACTGATGGACTTATTTTAAAGATACTTCATATTATTTTCAAAACTGTACAATGAACCTAAATAGTGAACTAGTGAAGTACTGCAATTAGTTTATGTGAAAGGAGTGATTTGGATGAATTTAGAGTAGCTAGAGGCCTAAAAAAAAGAGGCTGGAGCTTAAGAGGTTTGGAAAAGGGTTGTGAACCAGTGCCCTAGAGGAAGAATTGTATCATCTGATCCAATACTTCGGTTTCTGACCAAATGCCTCTAACACAAATGACATTTCCGTCCGTGTTTGTTCAGGTGTTTGAGGGAACATCAGGCATTGATGCCAAGAAGACAGCTTGCGAGTTCACTGGTGACATCCTGCGTACTCCTGTGTCAGAGGACATGCTGGGTATGATCAACCTGATTTCACACTGCATGTTTAATTCAGATTCAGAAATTTATATCACTCATTATAATGCTGATTAGTCCACAGTTGTGGTTTTGTTCACATCTGTGCGTTCCCTCATTCATGCTTATACCCTTCTAACACAAAAATGAAAAATTTACAGCATGTTGAATGCTGTTAAGTGCTATACTGCACTCTCTTTCAATATGCATATTTTACTTAGGTTTTCAGTCTACTCACTGAATAGTAAAAGCAAAACAGCACTGAATCAAACCTTTTTTCTTAATGTTCTTGAATGTCTCAATCAGTGTGATTATCTCAGTACAGCACAAGGTTACATATACTTGAATAGCAGTGGAAAGTAAACCTGCTTTTGTTTTTGAAGTATCATTAATCACGTCCATGAATTTATAATTACTTGTACTACTTGTAGCCTCGACAAGCGCCATCAGAGCCACTCTTATGTGTTTAGAGTCTGACACAAAACAGAATAGATCAGATGTGGTTGGAAGTGTCATCTAATGAATTTCATTTTATTTGTGTTTCTTAGTAATTATCTTTGAATTAAACTTCAAGATAAACCAAATAGTTATTTTTTATCAAATGAAAGACTTGATTTCTACTCGGCTCAAAGGAGAAAGTCTTCCTCTTACAGGGCGTGTGTTCAATGGCTCCGGCAAACCCATCGACCGTGGGCCCAATGTTCTGGCTGAGGACTACCTGGACATCATGGGTATGACCTCAATAACCTGCTGTCTTCCTGTTGTTTTCGAAGATATTTTTTAAGCCAAATTAATGCTATATTACAGGGTGTCTGTGGGTGGCTTAAAAAGTCCAATAATAATCTCAATTTCTTGACTTTGCCTTGATAACTGGTATATTTAATGCGTCCTTGTTATTCTCATTGAGATCAGATCTCTGTCCTCCAGAGCCAAACCTGCGCATGAGTAATTTGACTGGTGGCAAATAAGCCCCAGATGATTAATTTATTGCATCATTAAGTTGTAAGACGTTTCCATCTACTACCTGTATGATGAACAGGTAAGCAGGGAAGTGTATCATTGTTTGTATTCCATGTTTTTCAAGGTCAGCCCATCAATCCTCAGTGCCGTATCTACCCTGAGGAGATGATCCAGACTGGCATCTCAGCCATTGATGGCATGAACAGCATTGCCAGAGGGCAGAAGATCCCAATTTTTTCTGCTGCTGGGCTGCCCCACAATGAGGTGAGACCACTCACCTTGTTGATTTCACCAGGGACAGAAAAAAATCAAGGAAGCAAGGAAATTAGTATCAGAAGTTCCTTAATACAAAACCTAAAACAGATAGAAATGAACACAACAAAAATTTAATAAAATTTGTCAGTTGCTTTTGTCCAATGATCCAATTATTGGTTGATATTGCAAATCCCATAATGCCAAATAAAAGAGGCTCTCATCTGAATACAAGAGTGGTGTTACTGGGCAATAAATCAATTGGAAGTCATTAAAGTGTAAAGTTTTACAGAGCCTTTTGTGTCTCCAGAGGGAGCATTGTGAAGTCTTATAAATGTCCTCAAGTGAGCGTGAGAGTCAGCGTTGGTTTAGGCTTAACACACTGAGGGTATGCAGTTAGACAGAAGTGAGTTTACAAGACCTCTGCAGCCCATCTTTGGCTATGCTAGCTGCTACTAGCATAATGTACCTTTATCTCCTGAGCCATCTCGCTTCCCTTGTCTCTGTTAAGAGTTGCACATGCTAAGTGCAGATCCGATACTTGTGAGAAAAGGGTAAAGACTACGGAAGCGTATTGCATTCACTTGAACATTTATTTTTTGGTTTGTTTTTCTGAGTAATCTTTTTCTGATTTTCTGAATAATTTTTTTTTTCCTGTTTTTTGGACTAATTTTTTTTCTGAGTTTAGAGAGCATTTGAAAAAATAGACACATTCATTCCTTTATTGAGAGCTCGATTTAAAGGGACATTGTGTAGTGTTTTAAGTATTTTATTAGCTAAAATCAATGTCTTCATTCATAAATGTGTCCTCATTGGTGTAAAATGACCTCTGCCAATGATCTGACTTATCCTCGTAAGCGAAGAATTTCTTATCTGTATATACATGGGACGGGCAAGTCCATGGAGGCTTCCATGTCGTTCCGCCATTTTGAAAAACTAAAATCGCTGAGAAGGGACATAAAGCACTAGCCTACCTGTCTAGCTAATCCACAAAGCGTTTTCGTTCAGAGCCAGCGCCACGTGACTGAAACCAGCTATAACGGAGAAAGAGATCAGTGAGAGGCGCTTGTCACTGCCCCGGCACATTTGAAAGTCTGCGCTGCACTTTGGTTAATAATGGAGGATCATACTTATGCCGAGCCACAGGAGAAGGAATCCTCGTCGCCAAAAAAGCGAAAAAGGGAATTAAAAAGAAAACTTCACCGGCGAATTAAAAAAAACGAGGGTAATCATCGGCGTAGCTTTTCCCAGGTGGAAAGAGCTAATGAAGGAGAAAGACTTTCAAAGGGACGCTGAAGCTGCCTGCTTTCTCCTCGACAGGTAGGCTTCTTGGTACATAACGCCTACCGTAGTTGCAATACGCATTTGAAAACGCGAGGCACTAGAGAGCACTATTCGTTTGAATGCAAAATACAATTTCACCGCTAGATGGGAGAAATTCCTACACAATGTCCCTTTAATGGAAACAAACATGACCGGCTTGTTTAGTTCAATCAAGTTTTACTTTGATCTGGGTTTAAGACACTGGGAGATAGTCCTGTCTTTAAGTCATATAGATGGTATTATCATTAGTTTGTCGACTCTACGCTGAGGACTTTGTGGTTGTTCAGAAGGAAAGCCCATTCAGATCTGCTAGACATATATACATAGCAAAATTGACCCGGTACGGTAGATAGTTGAAGATGGGGCATGTATGTGCGGGCAGGAGTCACCATAGGTCCTTGGGAGGTTCTCGTGGGAGTTCTCGTGGGAGTTCCAAGTATCTCGATAATTCAGAAAAAAAAACAACCTTGAAAATTACCCCAAAAAACAGGAAAAGAATTACTCAGAAAAAATTTATTATTATTATTATTTTTATTTTTTTTTTTCAAGTGAATGCAATACGCTTCCGTAAAAGACTTAAGTTAATGAGTTGAAATGTAAGTGAGTATTTTCTGGAAACAGGAGTTTAGTCGTGTGGCGTTTTGGGTGAAACTCCATTATGTGCAGTTTGCTGCTAGTTTCAAGTTTTCTGGAAAACGTTGCTGAAGTGCCACAACAAGAGCCGATAGCTAAGAGGGTCTTTGACGTTATTTAGACACTGCTAATATAAATAATTTGTATATAGGCAATTAACGACTTTGTGCAAGTAGAGTTCTGAAAAAACATTAACATTGGACCCTGAATCGTCAGTGGTCACTTTGCATTTGACAGGTTTTGACAAGGAGGAAGATTGCATGGAACAAAAAAGAGGAAATCTCTGCATGGTAATTGGACCTGTACTTGTATAGCGCCTTTCTAGTCTTCCGAACACTCAAAGCCACATTTGCTATTTCACACACAGCAATGGCAAACTCCATTGAACAGAAACTAAGTAATTCAGCCACATTCACACACCAATGACACAGCGATTTGGGGTTCAGTATCTTGCTCGAGGATACTTTGACGCACAGCTGGAGCCGAGGATCGAACCACCAACCTTCCGAATAGCTCTGCCTCTGAGCCACAGACGCACCTGAATTTCAGGCCTTAAAATGTTTTAAGTAAGAGTCTGATAGGAAGTTAACTTTTATAAAGTTGTTTTTGTCAGTCTTTCGTTTAAATGTGTTTTTCGGGAGAATAATATATTGATCATGCTGTAACAACTTCATGGAACCAAACTGATTTTCCTTCACATCTTTTTTGCCAGTATGGGCGTAAAATAGGTTTTACATTGCATTCATAATAGTCTTAAAAAGTCTTAAATGTAACCTTCTGTAACCTGCAGAAACCGTGGAGCGTACAATACAGTTACAAAACATGTTTGCAGCAAAAATTGTAGTAATAGCTCAGGGCGTTTGTTTGCTTTATTGTTAAAAGTATAATCCATCTTATATTTCTCTAAAAAATCTTTTTCTAAGCAAACATCAACTCAGATATTGCTAAAACATAAGTGAGTATATGTGTTCCCAAAGTCAAGAATCAAATATGTTTTCCCAAAAAATGTTTGTCAAAATCTAAAGGTAAATGTTTCTGGTTAATAGTGTTTATTTCTGTGGTAGTCTCACAGTGGAAATGTTTTATTTTATTCGATGAGTCAGGTCATTCATGTGTGTCAGCTGTTTCCCTCAGTGTTACATGACACTGAATTGTGCTTTTTTCCAACGTTTTTCATGCCTTACAATGGAAATTCATGACTCAGTTGTCCTACATAAACAAGACTAGTGTCTTACAAGCCTGAATATCTTGTGTCTAAAAGCAGTTCAAGTGAAGTAAAACATTTGACAGAAGAAGTTCATTGGTAAGTGCCATGGTTGCAGGCACTACTACCACATTTGCACCAACATTTAAGAACACGTAAAGAAAATTAATATTCCATGTGTGTTTGTGGGATTGGTATTTCACCCTTAAAGAAAGCAAAACTTCAACCAAACTCAATGTGCTTGTTTCTGCATTCAGTGAGGCCTGGCTTTTGCTCCAGTGTCTGTTTTAATCATTGTGACAGACAGTTGTGCAGAACACACAGCTTTATTGTGAGTGGAAATGAAACCAACATGATCAGGTCATACTTAAAGAAGGCGAGTGATCTATTATTTCCAGCTAGATGGAGGTTTTTGTCACAGTATGCTAGTTTAAGTAGGACAGCGTTGGAAATAATTATTTCATTCATTCATGAAAATGAAATAAACAATGGCCACAAAGACAACTCTATTGTATTTGGCCAAACAGTATTGATTGAGTCAGTCTGTTGAAGCACTCCAGCACTATTGAGTTTTCTTGAGTGACAGGCCATTGGTGGTTCTTGATGCTCTTCAGCTTAAAAAAAAAAAAAAAGGATTTGGAAACCAATGTTGTGACCCCTGTATTCTTCTTTTCACTCCTACAGTCCTTTACACGTCAATGCTCAGGGACAAAATTTAATGCTATTACTGTTTGACAATGGCAGACAATAATAGCATTATATTTCTTTGTGTGTTTTGGGAGATGTTTAAATATCCACTAAAGAACAGGAACATTTTTTATATATATATATATATATATATACACATATATACACATAATTATAATCATATTGCGATTATTGTAACAGATATTGCGATTACAGATCACCATGATGTGGAATGATAATTTTTGCATCACAAATTAAATTTTCACTAAAAAAACAAATATTAAATGAAAGTGAAATTTTTCAGGGGTCTGTAACAAACAAACATATTTTCTTAAATCTGGAGAACAAGATTTGTAGTCCAGGGCCTCTGTGCAGCACTACAATATTTTATTATAATGCTTCAATGTTAGTCACACATTGTACCTTCATCAAAACATTACAGCTCTTGTGATTTGCATTACAACCAAAAATATAGCAGCTTGACACAGGGAAAAAGATGTAATGTTTAAACTTTGGTGAGATTTGGTGAGAACATAACTTAATATTTCAATTCAATTTTATTTGTATAGCGCCAATTCATAACAGAAGTTATCTCAGGACACTTTTCAAATAGAGCAGGTCTAGACCGAACTCTTTAAAACATTAATTACAGAGACCCAACAGTACCACCATGATCAAGCACTTGGTGACAAGGGCAAGGAAAAACTGCCTGTTAAAAGGCAGAAACCTAGGACAGATCCTTCGGCTCTACGTGGGTGATCGTCTGCCTCGACCAGTTGGGGTGAGAGAGACAGAGAGAGACAGACAGAGACAGGGAGAGAGACAGACAGGTGCACAGCAACAACAGTATTGGCAATGGTAGTCAAGCAAGACCATGGCAGGAGGCTCCACCAGAATCGATAAGAACCTGCGAGACGAGAAAGCACAAGAACTCCGGGGAAGAAGTGAAGTTAGTAACATGCATTAATGGAACATGAATGAGTGCAGAAAGAGAGAGGAAGGGAGGAGCTCAGTGCACCATGGGAAATCCCCCGATAGTCTAGGCCTATAGCAGCATAACTAAGGGATGGTTCAGGACTCACCTGATCCAGCCCTAACTATAAGCTTTATCAAAGAGGAATGTCTTAAGCCTACTCTTGAATGTGGAGAGGGTGTCTGCCTCCCGAACCACAACTGGAAGCTGGTTCCACAGGAGAGGAGCTTGGTAACTGAAGGCTCTGGCTCCTGTTCTACTTTTAGAGACTATAGGAACCACAAGTAGCCCAGCATTCAGAGAACATCGTGTTCTAGAGGGGTAATAGGGTACTATGAGCTCTTTAAGATATGAAGGGGCCTGACCATGAAGAGCTTTATAGGTGAGGAGGAGGATTTTAAATTCTATTCTACATTTTACAGGGAGCCAATGCAGAGAAGCTAGTACAGGAGAGATGTGATCCTTTTTTCTAGTTCCTGTCAGTACTCGTGCTGCAGCGTTCTGAATTAATTGGAGCGTTTTAATGGACTTATTGGGGCAACCTGATAATAAAGAGTTGCAGTAATCCAGCCTTGAAGTAACAAATGCATGGATTAGTTTTTCTGCATCTGTCTGTGATAGTATGTGTCTAATTTTTGTAATATTACTTAAATGAAAGAAGGCAGTCCTAGAGGTCTGCTTTATGTGGGAGTTAAATGACAAATCCTGAAAAAGATAACTCCAAGATTCCTGACAGTGGTGCTAGAGGCCAAGTTAATGCCATCTAGAGTAACTATATCTTTAGACAGTGAGTCTCTAAGGTTTTTGGGGCCAAGAAAAAGAATTTCATTTTTTTCTGAGTTGATTAAGTGGCCAACAAAACAGTTATTGCAGCTTAAATTGGTTTAGATTTAAATTGGTAGCCCAAACTTTGAGGCTCGTAACGTTTTATTACAGTGAAAAATGACTGGGCAAATCTGACAAAGAATCAGTTTCTTTAATCAGTTATTGTACTATGAGTATAATGCAGCCGTCAACCAGAATCCCTTCCCTATTTTGAAAATGCATGATCAAAAGGGTCCCACTGTAGAACCGGCCAAACAAACATGGCGAGTGTTGTTCACCTAATGATGACCTGCTTGTCATGCCATCTGGGTGGTGTGAAAAACTTGGCCTGTTGTTTCATTAAGCACATGTGACAGAGGTCAATCATGGTGGTTTCCTCTATGGGCCAGGTGCATGAACTCAGGGTGCACGGAGAGGTCAGGTCAGATGAACACAGCAGCCATGACATTATGTTACGTGATGAGCGTGAAATTCCTCTTTCATTCCACAGACTCATGAAGTATCACACAGACTCTTCACTCTGCTTCAGTTATTTCAGTAAAGAGATTGCTTGTGGTTTGGTGGATAGCAACCATCTTTATTCCTTAATGTGACCATTACCATCTTTATATTATTTAATATATAGAGCGCTTTTTAGCATCTCACTGCCTTAATTTTTCCACCTTGCCAAGAATATGTGAATTTCTGTCATTTTGAGGTAATTTTTTTCAGTAAAAACTTCAAGACTCAAGACTTCAAGATTTCATGTCATGATTATCTTCGCTAAAATAATTGTGATACACGATGTTATCACAATAATCATAAAAATATATGAAATATTATATACAATACAAAAAAATATACGCTAACAAATCTCTATTGTTCATCTCTCTTTTTTACCATCAAACAGCAATGTCCTTTTTATTTTATTCCATTGCATTTGCTATTAAACCATGACAAAGCACCTATTATGTCTGCCATAGCATATTAATGTTAATTTTGTAATGGCTAAAATGAAAGTTTTAATTTGTGATTCAAGTGCATTACTCTGTAACACCATTGCACAACTGGGAGTGGACTGTTTTTGAGGATCAGCTAGATCTGATTGTGTTACGCTAATTGTATACTTTTATGCATGTTATATCAATACTTTAAGCTTATCGATGTAATATTTCTAAACCTGGACTGAGTAGTAAAACAAGTAGCTTGTGTAGAGTAAGAGGCTTCATCTGTTATCTCAGTGAGTCGGATACATTTTATTAGTATTTATGTAATGGTGCATTCAACTCCTGATACAGTACAATTCATGATACTGTGTTCACAATATGATTTTCTTATGAACAAAATGAGATTAGATACAGGTTATGATGGAAAATGGTTATTTTTCTCAAACAAAAATCTACAAAATATGTTTTCTTTATCAAATTAAAGAATATTTTTTTATTATAGCTGAGGTAGGAAAAAAACAATGTATATTTTCTTTTCTTTGTAAAAGGGACACTGAAAAAAACTCAGACAGAAAAGGTCCTTGTATCTCTTGCCATGTCTTGTCTTTTATTTTCTTAGCTTTTTTAGTTTCTGACCGGGAGAAGCTAAAAGCTGCCACACCTGTCGCCATTGGATTGTTGTCATTTTATTTTGTGGTTTAATGGTCTGCCGCCGAAGAACGAGAGATGTTCAGTGACAGACGTTCAGCAGTGTAGTACAACAGCCTGTGCCAGGAGAGGAGAGGCATGAAGTGGGCTGAGCCAGAATATTTTTATTTTTAGCTCTGTTGGTTGGTGGTTAGACAGCAGAGGTGGTGATTGTTGAACAGTGGAAAGACTAGTAAAGAGGGTAGGATGAGATACATTTTCTGTCTGTCGGGTTTGAATGAAGTGTGTTTTAAGATCCTTTCTTCTTCCTCATCAGAGATTGTTGCACTGAACATTTTTTTATACTTTATTGCAATATTTCATTCATCCTTTTTCCTACCATTGTTTACCTCAATGTCCACTGCATATCTATATATAAATATATATACGTATACATACATCCATACTCATATATACAGGTACGTACAAACAAAAGGAAAAAATACAAACTAAACTAATTAACTACAAAAGAAAAGCTTTACACAAAAGATTTACATATCGCCCTAAGTTTTCACCTGTGGCTGCTATGTCTTCAAATGTTGATATAGCTACTGATGCTAGTGACGTAGGATGTCGAACAAGCAAAAAATAGATAGCGCCCTCTGATGAGAGTATCACAATTCATTTTTCATCTCATCCTGATTTGAATCTTCACATATTTATTCACAAATGTTAAAGAGTTGGGTCTAGACCTGCTCTATTTGAAAAGTGTCCTGAGATAACTTCTGTTATGAATTGGCGCTATACAAATAGCCCATAAAAGTTGATTACAGGTCTAAGTTGAATCTTGCGATTCAATAAAATGCTGTCAAACTCCAACCCCACTTGACACACACCCTCAGACTGGAATAGAAACCTTCACAAATACATGTTGCTTCTTTAAGGTAGCATTTGTAATATTTGTTAAGTCTCTATGTAAACTTCAAGACCTCTCCACTGTCTAAATCCTACTTCTTGCTCCCAGATTGCTGCCCAGATTTGTCGCCAGGCCGGACTGGTGCAGAAGTCCAAGGATGTGATGGACTACAGCGCTGAGAACTTTGCCATAGTCTTCGCAGCCATGGGGGTAAGCAGAAAAACTGCAACGTGAAGCGGACACTCGTTCAACACCCCCATCTCCCATTTGTGACTCTTAATCCCCTCTTAACCCTGATGCCCTGATGTGACACACACCCCATCCCCTCTCTCCCGCCCTGCTTTTCTGTCTTTTATTCACCAGGTGATTTAAGTCCCTCTTGTTACTTCTGCACCTCTGAGCATATCCCCCAGCCACATAGACAGGTTACTAATTCAACGGGCCCTTTAATGCTGTCAGCCCACAGTATCAAGTTCTCTTCCCCTCAGCTGCTCCTCCTGTCCACTGTAATGCCTTGATTGTGACGGGTTGACCTCTACCAAACACACACACTTGCTTCATTTGCTAAACGCTAATCCTTCCCTTCCACCTCTCCACCAATTCACATCCCATTGTGGTCAGTCTAGCAAGAGAGTTGAAAAGCAGGGTTAATAGGGATTTATACAAGTAAACACATGGATATGCATTTTTTAAGACAATATAGAGTACATTGTAACAGCAATGCATCTGTTTAATGGAAAAAGTCAGAACTCAAAGGTTTTGTTTACTCACAGTATAAGACTTCTGTTGAGCCAAGATCTCTTATTGAATCCATTTAAAAAAAGTTAATCTTATCTTTATCTTAATCTTGAGAGCAAAAAAATAGATTCAGGCGGTAGATGCCAAACCAATGTCTTGTTAGTGGGTGAGAGCGGGACAGTAAACTTAGTTGAGGCCGGCAGAGAAAACCATTAATATACAATATAATTTTATTTAATATATTCAGTTTTTTGTAAACTATACATCACCATAGCAACATATTGTGATGCTGTTATTTGTTTTTCCCGTGCTGTGAAGAAGGTGCTGTCCTACTGCCTGAATCCATGTGAATGCAGTCTTAGTCAGTTTTCAACAAAAACAAACAAGTTTGGCTAGTCTTAGTTTTAGTCGAGTCTGTAAATGATTTTGTCTCTCAACAAAGACCGTTATTGTGAGGATTTGCTGCTTTACGTTGATGTCTGAAAAAGGTCTCCGTATCAGTAACTTTGTATCATTTGTCAATCAGGTCAACATGGAAACTGCCCGCTTCTTCAAGTCTGATTTTGAGGAGAATGGCTCTATGGACAACGTCTGCCTTTTCTTGAACCTGGCCAATGACCCCACGTAAGATTCAGAGTCAGAAATGATCTCAGCTGGTAAAAGCAGTAATTGTAGCAGCCAGTCCCATTTTTTTAATGTTTTGTTTATTCTGAATGGGGTTCTGTTCAGAGCGTTTACTGGCTTCATATTTTATTCTCAAATGTAAAATGTATGACATTCTCTAGAATAACCTCAAGTTATGTGTACAGTAAAATAAATAATACATTTCTGTGACCAATCAGCATCGAGCGTATCATCACCCCTCGCCTGGCACTCACTTCAGCAGAGTACCTGGCCTACCAGTGCGAGAAGCACGTCCTGGTCATCCTGACTGACATGAGCTCCTACGCTGAGGCTCTGAGAGAGGTATGACTACATCTCATCTCATCATCCGTCCTAGACGTATTGGTTACTCAGACAAATGTGACAGATGCTACATGTGAATATTTGAAAAAAAAAGTTCTGCGGAACACAAGTGGAATGAATGTGAATAATAATAATAATGATAATAATAATATAAAACTGGAGTTCAAATGAATGCTAGGACTACTGCTAAATTATATGAGACTGAGAGCTGTCCTGAATTGTCAAGAAAAACTGGAAATGTCCTGTCATGAAAAAATGTCTAACGCAAGACTACAGATAAACATCAGCCAGTGATATCAGTGAATGCCATCTTGTTTGCTGAAAGGCCAATGTCTGTGTTCTTCCTCCACACTTAATCATACAAGTTAGTATTTTTTAAATTTTTATGACGTATTAATCAATTTTTATTATGAGTAGTATAAAGGGAGCTATATCTACATTTAATTCTACAACCCTGCTTTGTAAACAACAATGATATGGCCTTGAATCCTGGAATACCGATGTTCAGCTGATATATCGGTGCATCTCTAGTAGTATTTTAATCGGTGTCTATTGATTTAATATTAAATAAATGTATATTTAGTTAATATATATTGATGGAATTTTCTATTTGTTTAACAAAAAACAAACAAACACAAAAGAGCGAATGTTTAGTCAGCTAGCCGCTTTTGACTCCCGTCACACTTCGACCCGTTAAGTGGCACAGAAATCATACACTGAAAACTGCATTGGGATTTGGTCTGTTAGATGCCGGTCATAGGTGCCATATCGCCACCAGGTTTTGGTACCCTACGCTAATGTGGCAGCACGTCAACATGACACACCAATGTACATTTTCTGCTGCATTAGCACAAAGGTGTTAGACTCACTAAAGTGTTGTGCTCCTTGCTGAAAGGGAGCATAATGCGTCCTTTCTTGCAGGGAATACCTTAACTTCATTATTGTCCACTCGCCTTTAAAAGGAAATGGGGCCCTCTCCCTGCCCTCCCTCCCTCTGCCCTCCTTCCTCGTGGCGAGGAGTCAGGCCCTCTCGACTCACTCTCTTGTTTTTCTGTAATAATCCTTTTATGTTGTACAGTTTGCTGTCTCAATATGCTGGCAGCACAATGCAGGTTTTTAAATGGTGTATGTGTGTTTTCCCTTCTTGCATTTGCTGTCCATAACCTTGGCACATGTATGCTGTGCACCAAGCTAAGACTCATACAGCTTGATGGGTATTTCAGCATGTACAAAGAGCCAGGAGGACATTAACATTTAACTTTGGTTCCCATTCACGTGTGTGAAGGTTGAGTTTTGCATTGAATCTACAGTTCACAAGTGTTTAGCGTCCCATCAACCTTTGAATCCAAGGATGAATGAGATACATTTCTTTTCCTCTTGCTCTGAATTCACTTGACTTCGGGAACAAGGATTTGCTTTTGGTCATTTTTGTGAAGGGCCTGAAAACAGAATGACATTTCCAACCAGCTGTTTGCCTCTTCCGAAAGATAGTGAAGTAGTAAGCATCACTGACTTACTAACAGTAAATGGAGTTTATTATTTACGAGGAAGGGTATAAGAAAAAAAGCACAATAAGATTTAGTCTTACTTGAGCTAAAAAATTTAAAGTTATTTTTTTCAGTTTGAAATGAATCATCCTGCCCTTTACAACTGCTGTACCCCCAGAGATCTGTTGGAAAATAAAGTCGTAAAGGCGGCATTAATCTTTTATTTTTATAAACAAAAGATAACTCTGTTACTAACAGAGAACTGACCCCTCATTAAGCCCTGCCACCCATACATACTGTGGTTATAAAAATAGCCATTTTAGCATGGCACATATGCAGTTTACAATGATGGCACTGGCCGAAATAATGGAGCAGTATTGTTATTATATTGCAGGGTAGAGTAAGTTAGCCCACGTATGCACGATAATGAAAACTTGAATTGGGAGTTCCTCCAAATAAATGCTAATGTTGCTCTGCATTGGCTTGATTTGTAGTTGGGTAATAGTTTGCTAACCACAATAACTGTATAAGATAATAATCTCCTCCCTTTATATTCTCACTCGCTCTGCTGCTCCCAAGTAACCAAAAAGATCAAAAATCTGAAAGATGATGAAAATACAGAGAACTAAAATGTAAATGCATGTTACCAACCTTGTGTCCTGTAGCTAATTCTTTTTGTTGCTCTAATGTCGCCCTCCCATTCACTGCCCACTCCTCCTCACCCGTAGGTCTCTGCTGCCCGAGAGGAAGTGCCCGGCCGTCGAGGCTTCCCCGGCTACATGTACACAGATCTGGCCACCATCTACGAACGTGCTGGCCGAGTGGAGGGCAGGAACGGCTCCATCACCCAGATTCCCATTCTCACTATGCCCAATGACGGTGAGAGCAGCAGCAACAGAACAAAAGCTTTAAGCTGGACCAGTATGACATCTGCACAACTGTCTGCTTTGTAGGGGACAGTGATATGAATTATCAACATATGTATTTTATGCATTCAAAGCAATTTTTGCCCATTTTTGATGCCTGCAGTTACCATAGCAACACGTATGAAGAGCCTACTCCTATCTAGTCGAACAGGAGTCCCGCATTACAGCATCACAGGGAGGTGATTGTGTCAGCTTTTACTAAACACTGCTGGTGTTCCCGAGGGCACTTGATTTAGAGTAAAGGTCTTTAAAATGAAAGCAGACAGGAACTATTTCTGTCCCATTATTTTAATGCCTGCAAATCAGTGAGTGATTTGAATAATGTCTCAGTGGTAGATGATCTGCACTGTGAATGTAAAGTCAACTGAGCCATTCTATAAACTATTCATTAACAAATACAAGATCGTTTGTTAGTTGTGTTGCAATTGAATTCATTTTTGTGCCTCTAACAGACATCACCCATCCAATTCCTGATCTGACTGGATACATCACAGAGGGTCAGGTCTACGTTGACAGACAGCTGCACAACAGACAGGTATTCATCAGCCTTTTCTTAAAACAACATTCGTCCAACTTAAAGAGCTGGTACTCATTCCTGGGCTAGATGGTCCCAGCTTTGACTCAAAATACCACGTTGTACTGGTCATTTCACAATATACATGGAGCGATTACTGTCACATACGGACACCTATGGTTTTGGTATTTTAACCAGGTGAGAACGGTGTATTCAAACTCAGCTTCACCAAATAACCCAATCAAATTCAGTCTTTCTCATCTTCAAAATGAAGCAAGAATTAACTACTGGCCAGCTTGATGCTCATGTTTCGGGGGAAAAAAAGTATTAAATCCCATATGAGGATCAGTTCTACTCAAACGACTGGAGTTGAACAGTGTGAGATTTTCAAGCACCAGATATAAACAAGTCGCCATTACTTTTTCTCTTTTTACTTTCTGTATAACGCTACTTTTACAAAGATGTCTAGGAAATGGGGAAGAAACTGCAGTTAGCAGCTGCTCCAACAGTAGTGGCAAACTTCAACTTTGGAAAAAACCCTTTACATTTTTCATGAAGAGTGGCCCTACACTGTACATATATTCCCTGTGTGTGCAGAGAACCAAGACGTTCACATGTCAGGCAATAATTTAATCTTGTATAGAAAAACAAGAATTGGTATATTTATTAATATAACTTGTCTGTTATTATGATTAAAAACAACTCTTGACTGATTATGCTAGCTAGCTAGTGGCAGTAGCAGTGGTATTATACAGTACATCACTTGAAATGTGGTGATAGTCAAGTCAATTCAATTCAATTCAATTTTATTTGTATAGCGCCAATTCATAACAGAAGTTATCTCAGGACACTTTTCAAATAGAGCAGGTCTAGACCGAACTCTTTATAACATTATTAACAGAGACCCAACAGTACCACCATGAGCAAGCACTCCATTTTTTCTGTTTTTGTGGCTATTGTTGTAATAAATATCTCACTAATGTGTCAAATTTGAATATTGCTAAGATCGGCAGCCATATAAGGTACCTTCATCAGTAACTGGGGACCACAACCTAACATCAGTCCAACTACCCATGCTGCTGTCACCAGATGGTTTGTCATCATTGGAAAATGCTAATCTCCAAACAGTCACTTCTCAAACACGTCGTCACACACCTGACATTAAACCACACCCCTCACTCATGCTGTAGTTGCCAGTAGTTCTTCAGGATGCTGGTTGGTCCAAACCACTGTGGGTCAACACAAGTGCATAGCTTGAAGCTGAAGCCTAAGCTATAGCTGACATAAAGCTTGTTACAATTGTCACAACTGTCACAATTGTTCTTCATTGAAAATACCAAAAGAGAAGTAAATGCAATACACTGGCAGGGCTTATCTCATCAACGCTAAATTGACCTCTTCACTAAGATTTGGATTGTTGCTGTCATTACATTGTTTGTTTTAGTGACCTCTATAGTTACAATAAAATAGCTTTGCAATAACAATACCTGTAATCAGACAATCTCCTCTTTCAGATCTACCCACCCATCAATGTGTTGCCCTCACTGTCCCGTCTGATGAAGTCAGCCATTGGTGAGGGGATGACCAGGAAAGACCATGCAGATGTTTCTAACCAGCTGGTAAGAAATCTCCACTCAAAATCCTTATTACTGTTACAAGCAGACTATTTATTTGTAGAGACTATGTTGTAGTACTCAAGCATGCTAAAATCATGACATAATGTTTTTCCTTCTGAAACAAAGTCAGATGAATAACTGAAAGCATTGATGGATAATATTTGGAGAGGGTATACAGATGATGACAGTTCTTTTGTAGCTGTTTCATGAACTAGCGGGGTAAACAGGGTGCACACTAATCAGAAGGTTGGCAGTTCGATCCCCAGCTCCTCCCGCTGCCGAGGTGTCCTTTAACAAGATACTGAAGCCCAAATTGCTTCCGGTGTATGAATGTGAATGAATGTTAGTTGCTGTTTGTGATGGCCTTTGCCATTCACTGTATGAATGTGTGTGAATGGGTGAATATGGCATGTCATGTAAAAGCACTTTGATAGTTGGAAGACTACAGAAAGATACAAGTACATTCCATTCCAGTCCATTTACTATTTGACTATCATCATTGTTAATATGAATGTCCCTCCTCTTCTCCAGTATGCCTGCTATGCCATTGGTAAGGATGTTCAGGCCATGAAGGCTGTGGTGGGAGAAGAGGCCCTCACCTCTGATGATCTGCTCTACCTTGAGTTCCTGCAGAAGTTTGAGAAAAACTTCATTGCTCAGGGTAAGAAGACACTAAAGGAACAATAATGTATTATTTACAGAGGCATTATGACCATATAAATGATAATAGTGAGGGTGTAACTGGCTGGCTACCATGGCTTATATGGGATGTTCATTATTTTATCTGCCTTTTCTTTAAGGCAGCCAATCCTCGCTCCCCGTGTATTAGTTGATAAAATGGATTGACAGAAATGTAATCACCAACAATTTTTAGAACTGATTAATCATTTAAGGAATGCATCAAACAAAGATATCTAACTTTTTCTGGTTCCTGAGTTTGTTGCTTTTTTCATGTGGAATTTGGTCAGTTGGTCTGACAAAGCATGCGATCAGAAATAAAGATATCACCTTCCAGTTGAAGTGATGTAAATTTAGCCTGGACATGCCCTTTAATACAGAATTTTAACACTAGGTGTTGCACGTGACTGCCGCTCCCAAGTGCAACAAAATGAGAGTAGAGTGGCAAGTCCGTACGTTTCCACAATTTATCACAATAAAAGCCCTGTTAAGAAATCAGGTTCCTGTCCACTAGAACACTGGAGGGCTTTTTATTTAAACAACACTACACTACAGGGCTGACATGGCTGAGAGCTGCTTCTTGTCTCTTTTTAATTAGCCAGAATGTTTTGTAGTGACGACAATTCCATAGACTAAATGATATAAATAAATAGCTGAAAATTTCACCACAGAGAACCTTATGCTCAAGTTCTGCTGTTTTATTTAGGCAGTATGGTACAGTGACTAACCACTAAATTAGATTTCCCCTGATCCAACAGATTGGACTCTTCAATGAATTCATTTAAATACCCAGGATAAACAGTTCAGCATGGGAGGAAATGAATGAATGAATGAATGAATAAATAAAACCACATCCTTTAATCCATAGTGATTACAAAGGAAAGTCAGAATTGGGAATGGGGTCGATTAATTATATGCCTGGGAGGATGCAAAATTAAGTAAGTAAATGAATGTGGGCCTGAAGAGGTGTGTGGCAGTAGCTGTCTCCTGTCTATGTTTCTAACAGTGACACTTAGTGGCTTTGAAGTGTGTGTGATTCAGTTTTCTGTCATAGTCTATCAACCTAACTGAAAATGTATTTGCACTACAGCGTTATTACTATTACCGCCCAGGGTCATTGATTTTGATGCAGATAGCATATATAGTGCTCTTGTTACTGTTTAAAGTAGTACTAGTAAAGTGAAATAAGAAGGAAACTGACCAACAAAAGGAACAGTGCTTTTGGTTATTGTGTGTTTTTGCTCATCTATTATGGTGTATTGCTTTAAAAAACGGTAGTTGAAGTGGCGTTTACACATTGTATTTCTGAGTTTACGTTTTTCCCTGGAAAATATCGATCTGTGTAGGTTCCCTCTTTGTTGCTGAAGCATACCTGACCCTTTTCTTCTATCTTTTTTTTCTTAAAAATGACTCAATTCTCAGTGCTGAGATGTTTTAGACTCCTTGGTAGATGCTGTACACACAGCTGTTTTTTTCCTCTTTTGAACACTGATGGATTCCACAGAAGAATAGCCATCATGGCAAGAAGAGATGGGAAATGGAGAAATATTTTCCTTATATATTTTCTTATACAGAGCTAGGCTAACTGCTTCCCTCTGCTTCCATAGTATAGCCCCTTTCCAACACAGGTAATTCAAAGTGCCTTTTATGAAGCAAACAAATGCATTAGAAGATTACATTGCAGAGCTCCCTGGGCTCAAGCAGCTGTCTGTGGACCAGCAGCAGCTCTTTCTCACACAACACTGCAAAGTAAAGTCATAGAAAAATGTTTTGCTATGCATATTTGATATTGGATGTATCAAATATGCGAATGGGGCGAATTTTGTCTTTCATCTTTGCATCGACTTTGTATGTAATCTCATCACATGAAAAATGTTCTTCCTGTGTGAACATGACATTAGACTCCAATGAGATGACAATCTCGCTCTTTGGACAAAAGCATAAATTAACACATTTTCTAACTATTTCATGTGATAATACAGTTATGTCAATACAGCCCCAGTTCATATTGACTCACATATATACTGTCTCCCTCAGGCCCGTACGACAACAGGACAGTGTATGAAACACTGGACATTGGCTGGCAGCTGCTGCGAATCTTCCCCAAGGAAATGCTCAAGAGGATTCCTCAGAGCACCCTGGCAGAGTTCTACCCTAGAGAGTCTGCCGCCCGTCACTGAGGGGTGCTCCATTCTAGCCCCATTCACCTTTCTACCCACCCTCTTTCCCTTCATTCAGTTTCTTTCATCTCACCCCACAGCCTTGCACTTCAGGGTGCTCGGATACCATCGTCATCAAACCTTCACCCATCTCAAACTTGGCTTCCTTTCTCCACTGTTCTTATTACCTCCAGTTCATTTTCTTGTCATGAATCATCCCAACACCAACCCCCATTTCCCCACCCTGAATGAGAACAGGGCAATAATGTCCCCCTTCTGTAGATGTACTGTAGCGTATCAGTTGTGTATGGAAATTGTCTGTGCTTGTAATGTCTTTCCTTGAGTGCAAAAACGTGAACATATCCTTGAAATGATAGATCAGTCCTTTATTTATTGGGGTGTGTTACTGCTGGATCCACCTCCTTGTTTTTTTATTTTGATTATTTTTTTTTTTAATAAATGATATGTAAAATCCATCTCCTGCTGAAAACAAGAGGTTTCCAACTGTGTGTGTGTCTGTGTGTCTATACATACACAGTACCACTGCAGCCAGTAGCAGTAGGTTAGGCTCATAAAGTTGGGTTTTTATTAATTCAACTTGATTGTCATTTTCTAAACTGAGAACTCTTTGAGTATTTGCTGAACAACACAAAGTCACAGCTTCACAAACTGAACATCATAAACATCACCACAGGGGTGATTTTATAGTCAAGTGTTTCTCTTATCCACTGCCTATGTATTGTTTAATAATTGACAACTGCTGTAGTTTTTTTCATCCAAACTCGGGTCACAAGCGAAGTTGAGATGTTGACTGTATGTTGCCCCCAGTACTTTGACTCACCTCTTTTGGACCATCTTGCTTCCTCTACCTACTATGGAAAGAATACAGTGGATGTTTACATTATTTGTGTTTTGCTGTTTGATTTGTGTTGTGAAAAAAAGGAGTATATAAGAGTATATTAAACATTCCCATGTGTCTGCAGAAACTAATTATTTGTTGTGCTACAATAATGGTTTTGTGAGTTTATGTCCATGAATAAATTAAATTAAGTATGCTGTTGTCTCATCTCTGTACTCTTATCATTCTTCACAGATGTTCCTCATAAGGTTGTCAGACCCCCTGAGGCTGTATGATGTATGACAGTCCCAGCTAACCATATGTGAAATGTCTACAGTAATGATAAAGGAATCAAATACAGGTTTAGATATGCAATCAAGTTTTTAATTGACAGATTTGGACAGTGGGTGTTTTTCTATGTTACCAACTACATGGTAAATGGAGTGCACTTACATAACGCCTTTCTAGTCTTCCGACCACTCAAAGCGCTTTATATTACATGTCACATTCACCCATTCACACACATTCATACACATTCATACAATGATGCAAGGTGCTAACTGCTCATCAGAAACTAATCCCATTCACACATAGATGGCACAGCATCGGGAGCAATTTGGAAATTAGTATCTTGCTCAAGGACACTGAAGCCAGGGATCGACCCACTCTACCTCCTGATCCACAGCCACCCCCATCTATAGCTCATTCAAAGGTAACAAAAACACAACAGTTCTTATTTTAAGGTGTTTATACACTATATACCTATGAATATTCTATTCAATTTCTGACAGTAGATCCTCCTTAATTTAAAAAATGTCAATTGTCAATCTCAGGCCTTTTCATTTATTGATTTACATCTGAATCAATCTAATTTTCGTAGCAGGATGGAGTTTTTAGCATCTAAAAACTAATTTCGGTAACAGCACTGACCGTTGAGGTTGACATTCTGCATCACTTACAATATGATAAAAAATACAGAAAATAGAGTGAGAGAAGTTATTTTTGGTCTTCATGACCTTCAGAAGACTAATAATACTGCTACTTGTTGGTCATGTGACTTGTGAAATGTCCCAAATTTTCAAAAGGAGGAAGTGTTGTGGGTGGTTTTTATGAAGTTTTTACATGATTTATCTTCAAACTGGAAATAAGAGCAAAGTTTACTTCCTTAATAATCAGGTCAGAATCTGGTTTTCACATACAAGGAATTTGCCTTGGTAAGTTAGTGCATAACAATTAAACATAGAAAAATATAAATGAAGATATAACAAGAGACAATATATACAGATATGAAAAGAGAGACAATATGTACTAATCTGCAAGTTAGCAGTGTGACGCATAATGATATTTGCAGTGTACAAAGATAAAATCAGAGGAAAGTGCATTAATGTAACAGGGAAAACTGAATTAACAAGCAAAACAAGACAGAACAATGCACAGCAACACAGCGAGGCATCCATCTTAAACAATTACTGTAGTTTCAACTCTGTTACACACAGTGTTAGGGTAGTTACTCAAAAAATTTAATTTAGTACTCATTTCAGAAATAATATTATTACTTTACTCATTACTTCCTGACAACCATAATAAGTAACACTACTAGTTATATTTTCTGCTGCTCCCCACAATATTAGTAATTGCGTTTTTTCTCCCCAAAATTCAGACTGAAGACTTCACTGAATGTGTTTCCATCTTCCATACTAGTTTCCTCCATGATCACAAAAATGAATCCAAGGATGTGATTGGGTTATTGGATTTCAAATAAATAGGAGGAGACAACTAAAGAAATGTTAACTTATTATTTAGCAACTTAAACATTATTACTGAAATTCATCAGTAATTAGTTACACTACTAGTTACTGGGGAAAGTAATAGCTATTATTACTATTACTGCCTTACTGCCCAACACTGGTTATGATCACAGTTAATGTTAAAAATGTCATTCATTGTTAGTTTTATTCAGTATCATGACAAAAATACTTTCATTAAGGGACTTTGGAGCCAATCTCAATCGAACTGTGTGCTTCGATGAGCAGACAGCGTTTCCTGACAGAGACACTGCTTGAGGCTCGCGCCCAGGGACTCGAGCTCATAGGTGTGTCGCGGGGGAGCACTTCCTGTTGAACTTTGGCTCCAGGTGTTCTCGCTATGGCTGCAGAGGAGCTGGATAAAGTCAGTGTCATTGCAGAGCTGTCTAACCGAGGTAAGTTGGATTTGAGCTGTCGAATGTTTTATTGGTGAGGACATGAACGTGTCCCTCATACAGCTCCATATCGCTCTGGGATGGACAGAACGTCGCTATAATAAACACATAGAACAGTATCGGGCTGCTAGGCGGTAAAACTACACAGCTGGTGGAGTATTTCTTTAATGAGTGGGGTGAATGCTGGGTAGTTATTATGCAAAATCCCATGTCTTACTCTATTGGACTATGTTGGGGAGAATTCTCACTCTGACTGAGGCTCAGGCTACTGTAATGTCTTGTTCACTAACTTTTTATCATGGTCTTTGTTCATGGCCAAAGTCCGTGCGCAGTAGCAAGACTCAGCTTTTACTCCTTCAAACCAGGGCCTGGTTTACCTACAATAGGGTTATTTTAATTCTATACTGGATGCATATGCTGTATATCCCAAAATGTCAAGTCTTCCTTTGCAACGCCCAACATCCTGCTATGTGCCTCTGGTGAAGAGGAAGCCTGCAACCACTTTACACATGCCATTTTTGCACATTTGAAAGTGTGACTTTAAATTATACTAGGCCTATATATATATTCTTAATAAAAGTATGTTTATTTCATATGGAGTATGTAACAAAAGTAATTTCCCCCTGGGATTATTAAAGTATGTCTGATTCTGATTCTGATTCAGAACTTACCTCACTGAAAGAAAAGGGCATCCTTAGTCAGTTTCCTGTTTCATAATTTCTGAATGTCACGAGGACCAAGCAGAGGCGGAATTTGGCTGTTGATTAACACGTGTTGTTCCATAGGAAAACACATGTTCTAACTGCATTTTACATTATGTCCATTAAACATGACCCCTTCTGAAATTTCTGAGCAATGCGCATTTGTCGGCGTCTCCTTCTAGGAATGCATTAAGGACCTAAAGGGGTTGTTTTTGCTACAGCAAGGCATGAATAACTTCCTAATGGGACAATTTCATGTCCATGTCACGATTATCTTGGCCAAAATAATTGTGATACACGATATTATCAGGATAATAATATAAATAAACTTCATACTTTTAAAATGGCACTAAAACATACTGCAATCAGTTTACCTTACATTTTTTCAAGAAATACATATTTGTGTCATCACAGATGGAACCTCATCTCCCTGTTCTATATACTATTTTCACACATCCAGTTCAACTTTTTATATGGTATACAACCGACAAGCTGAGCCTTCAGCCATGGTGAAAGGCTTTGGATTTTGGAATGATCAACATAAATTAGGAAATCAATATAGGAATGTATGCTGGAGAGCTAGACAGCTTTTTCAAGTCATGTGAGGATATTCACGATTATCACGATAATGGAAATTCACTACGATGTATGAAATTATGTTTTTTTATTGCAATAATATTGTATATCTTCCCATCCTTGTTCTTACTATTATAATAGAAAACAGGTGTACTGTTGAATAATTATAGTCAATATTTTACTTCTATGACATATTTATTATACAAACAAGTATTTTTGATGTTATTGGTTGCTAGCTGTACCTACATCTTATCGTTGCAGTGGCCGGCCAAATCAGCTGTAATACTACATTATATTACTGAAGGCAGCTCCCCTTGCTATCACAGTTACACCCAAGGCAAATATTGTTGATATACTGAACATTCCCTGCTATAACAGTCAGGTGACACAAGACACAAGCTGCACTAGTCACTGAATGAGAAGTTATCACATGCTGGAAAATTTCCCACTTTTCAAGTGGATGATGTGAGCTCTGCGTTCCTCACTGAGATTTGCTTTATTGTGATTTACTGGTAAAGATGGCTAACTGGCACCCTCTGCTTCCTACAGCCCTAGAGGAGTATGAGGGCCTGCAGAGGAAACATGACACAGCAACCATGGAGGTAAGTTTTAATATGTATTGTATGTCTGACAGTGTAAGGAGTTGACACCAGGGGCAGATGTATAAATTATGTGTATGCACAAAAACTATCCGTTATTGACAGGTGTAATGAGTGGTGGAGTGGGCATAAGGACTGATATGCAAATGGTTGTTTAAGGGTGTTTCTATGTCCATTAATTGATAATTGTTGATTTGCTGTTTCCGTCAAAAAAAAATGTGTGTTTTTCTAAGCTTTTTTGAAGAGGGTTGGTTGGTTGTATGAGGTACTTATCCACAGTCAGTGTATTACCTACAGTATGCAGTGGTCAGCACGCCCGCACTTTGAAGAGGCAGACATGAGTATTAGCATAGAAGCTAACCATTGAACTGATGTGGACAGGGCCACAGAAACATTTATTTTAGTTACTTAAAAAAAATCAACATCAGTTAATATTTTGACCACTTTACCTTACTGTCAGTCAGCCCTTTTTGATGGGAAAGTGAAGCAGTTATGTTGCTCTCTCCAAAGCCACCAGACTCCTTTGACAAAAACAGAACATTGGAATTGCTGGTCCATTATTGCCTCAATCCGCATTAACTAATGTTAGTTATGTACTGATGTGGTAAAACACTATATCAACAAGAAAATTAATTGCCAAATATTTTGATAATCGTTTAAAGATGCTGTTTTTCTTTGTAATTTCTCATCATTTATGAAAGGAATGAAGAGTCTTTGGGGTTTTGATTGTTGGTTCAACATAGCAAGCAATCTGAAGACATTACTTTGGGCTCAGGGAAATTGTGATGAGCATTTTTCACAATTCCTTGACATTTTATAGACTAAACGATTGAAAATTCTGAAAAATTTAGAAATTGAAAAATTAGTTGCAGCCCTAAAAGTCACGCAATAATGTAAACAAACCCTGAACTGATCATGGAAGCGGTGGACCAACAAGTCCTGTGTTCTGCGAGATAAAATTAATTTTTGAATGAATGGTGGGAGTGTGGCATGTAGTGTACAGTGCATTGAGACTAGAAAGGCGCTATATATAAGTATAGTCCATTTACCATTTACCATCTGCTGTAGGTAATATAGTATAGAGTGTGCATAAGTACCTAATACAACCATACTCCGAAACCAGAATTATCCCTTTAAAGGGTATTTTTAAAAGCTACACTTATTACACAAACAAATAATTTGACATTCTGTAACATGGAAGTGTTTTTTATGTATTTTGAATGTGACCAAATAAAGCAACACAGTCCCAGGTGTGTGCAGATTGTTCTCATACAGTGTTCTTTATGTGGGCTTTTTAAAAAAGTATTTAAAATAGTAGCTTTCCAAATCTTTTAATACATTTTCATTATATTAAATTGACTGTTTTTCTCTGACTTGTGCTATTGCACTGGCAAACGGGTTGAAGGTTGATTAGAAAAGCAGTGGTCCTGTGTTAAAGCAGCTCTGTCTGTCTCTTACATAAGTGCAAGAGGCTGGAGGAGGAGAGAGACGAGGCCATCAAGAAGCTCAATGAGTTCCAGCAAGGTAAGTTTCTCTCTCCTGGATCAATACATGCCCTGATACGTGTGAGATTAAGTCAGAAATGTTTTCATTGTACAAACAAGCTTTAACTTATGGATATAGTAGTATAATATATATAATAATAATGCTAGGGGTGTGCATCTCTCCCATCTAAGATGATCCGATATTTACATGGGCTACGATACGATTCAGGGACGGTACATTTTAACATGGAACAGTTTGGTGCAATTCAATGCGTTACAATTGGATGCAATATGATCTGATACAGTTCTTCCAAGCCAATTCTTTAAAAGTGCATTGCTTACCTTCAAATACATATATTTTATAAGATACCAGGGAATCCCCCAAATTTTTTTCTTTATGACATGAGAAAAGTCACCCAGTTGGCACTAAGTTGTGACTGGAAAGTGTTTAATATCTTGCATTTTCTTGCTTGTGCTAGCTGTATTAGCATCCACAGACTCCTCATTGCCTGCATAGGTGTCAAAATGCCTTCTCACCATATAAGTGTTGAGATTGCTGTCCGACAGATCTTACAAATGGCTAGACTTTTGTCCAGCTTTCCTTCCTTATTATAGAATCCAAAAGTCTTCCAGACCTTAAATTTTAGATGTGATGGTGCACTGTAAATGGTGTTTTGTTTGTTTGTGTAAGTAAGTAAGTAAAGCTTTATTTATATAGCACCTTTTTGACACAGAGATCCAAAGTGCTTTACAAACAACAAATAAGCATAAGGGTATAACCTAGAGTTGGGCGGTATCCAAATTTTGATACTTAAACCTCCTCCCTATTTTACCGTGGTATATGGCATTACCGTGACTAATTAAAAATTATGACGTAAGGCTCAGACAGTGTCACCAAACTGTTGGCTTGTGCCTACACCGTTCAGAAACTGAATACCAAACACTAATACTGAAACAATAACAACATAACATGCACAATATTAACAACTTTTATTAGCAACACATAGCAGCTTATAAAAAAGTGCAAATAGACCCACAACAGTCAACCAGAGTTGAATTAACATAAACATCCATATTATAACAATTATTGCAAATCAATAGGCCTAAATTAAAACACAGTCCAGTCTTCTTTCCAATATTGTTTTTAACGAAAACCAAATAAAAATACCTGAATCAATTAAATAAAAAAAATACACACACATACACACACACACACAGTGCGAATAGGAACTGTGTGGCTTTTTTTGTGTGGCTTTTTGCCAGAAAAACCAGCATGTTTATTTTGTCCGGCTCGGCTTTAACAGGGCACGTTGTGGACTGACAACTTGACCTGCGGTGCTGAAAACCCGCTCCGATGGTGAGCTTGTGGCACAGACGCACAGGTACTTTCGGGGGACTCGCGATCTCTGGGGAAAACGCCCGGCAGCACATTTCCACCAGAGAAGTGGGTCCTCGTCTCCTTGAAAAACGGGCTCCAAACAGTAGGCTGTTATTTCAGCTCCGGCTCTGTCCTCTACAGTGCCGACGGGACCTGCCACTGCATCGGCTTGTTTTTGCAGTAGACTTCCCAGAGTCATCTTTTTTCGTGGGGGTTCGGGTTGCGCCTCTCCCTCTTCCACTCTGATGGCCAGTGGACCTGCTGGTGCTTGCCCCTCTAAGCTCACGATCTCAGCCTGTAATTCAGCCTTGGTCTCAGCCAACGCGTTGTCATCAGTCTCATATCCTCCACGGTAACAAGGGTCGAGGAAAGTGCATTTTCGCATTAATTTGCGCACTGAATCGGATTCATACTTGGCCTCCAGCTTTGTTAAAATTTCAGTTTTTATTGACTTTGTTAGCTGGAGGTCGGTTTCTGACACAGCCAACACATTGTCCCTGCAGAGCTGGAGTATGGGGAGGATAGAGGAACTGGTCACATAATTTTCTCCTGACAAAATATCAGTGAAGTGTGAACAGGACGTGTCTGATCGCTTGGGCCTGCTCGAGGATGCGCTCCACCATTGCCAGTTTGGAGCCCAAGTGAGTTGCGCAGTCCTGCCGATGGATGGGTGAATGAATGAATGAATAAACGAATGAATGAATGAATAGGCCTAAATAAATGAATGAATAAATAAATAAATAAATAAGCCCATTAATGTTTATTATTCCATTCTATTCTTAATTACGTCATCTAACCTTAACAGATTCAGATATTCAGATACAAATTTATGCTTACCGTTATGAGACTATGTTCTTGGAGTCCCAACTCCACTTGCTTCTTGTGCAGTTCATGCTTACGTTGCCAGCTGTGTGAAAAGGCCCCGACAATATTATGGCATAGTCCGAGGGCGCGCTCGTTTTTTTGCCTCTGGTCATGCAATGCATTTGTGACAGCCAAGTTTAGATTGTGACCGAAGCAGTTAAGCCACGGCCAATGCAAGGACCTGATTGCGGCAGAAATGTTGGCAGCGTTGTCAGTGGTTATGGCTGAAAGTTTTTCTCGTCAAGTTGCCAGTCCTGAAGTGCAGCTCTGAGCACAGCACCAAGATTGTCTGCCGTATGACTCTCAGGAAAATACGTTGTTTGGAGGCATTTGGATTCAAGTTTCCACTCAGGTGTAATGGTGTGGACAGTCAGGGACATATATGGTGTCATGTTAACTGACGACTGCATGTCATTTGTCAAGAAATAACTGTCTGCCTCTGACAGCAGCACTTGAACCTTGTCTCTAACTTTACTATATAAATGTGAGACGGCTGTTGTGAGAAATGTTTCCATCCAGGCAGCTCGTACTGGGTATCTAGGACCTTTACCATGTCCTTCCAGGACTTTTTTTCCACTGTGTGGAAAATGACCATTTCCTTCGCCATGTATTTTGTCACTGCATCAGTACAGGTTTTCCAACAGACACTGTCCCTTTTGTACTTTGTTGTTTTTCCGAATGTTTCCCATTATCGTCGGCTGCGTATAACTGGCGGTGGACCTAGTTGTTGTTGGTCCTGCATCGGTATCAGCGGGAGGCGTCGAAACTGTTGCACTGAGTGAACTCGGGGCCAAATGCATCCTCACAGCAGTGAGTGGGTGGTTGTTTCGGAGATGCGTCCTTAGGTTAGAGGTGTTTCCATCTCTCGCGGTCACCTTTTTATTGCACAATTTACAAATTGCCTCATCAGTATTTACCTCCTCTCCCTTCTCATTAGGTCGGAACCCGAAATACTGCCAAACTGCAGAAGTCGTGTTCTTCTTTGAGACCAGGTCATTCGGTGCGAGACTTGCCATCTTTCCCATATATTAAATAAATTATATTTAATATATAATCCTTGTCTCCTATATAAGTGCATTGCATTTTTTTTAATGACGGTATTGAAACTGATACCGTTGCTATTTTTAAGACCCCGCGGTATACCATATTACCGTATTACCGCCCAACCCTAGTATAACCATACCCTATAAAACAAACATAGGGAGCATGTAAATACAAACAAAGAAAGATAAAACAAGAGGGAAAGAATAAATTAAAAGAGAGACGACAGACGAGGAAACAAACAAGGACATCTATAAAAAGGCTAGCCTGTAGAGGTGGGTTTTGAGGAGCTGCTTAAAACAGTCCACAGATTCAGTGAATCTGATTGAATGGGGAAGACCGTTCCACAATGTTGGGGCTAAAACAGCGAAGGCATGGTCACCTTTAGATTTACAGGTAGAGCGTGGAAGATTTGAGGAGCAAAGTGGCCGAGGAGTGGAATGAGGAACAAGGAGATCTGAAGTGTAACTGGGGGCAAGGTCATGAAGTGCCTTATATGTAATCAGTAAGATCTTATAATTGATTGTGAATTTTACAGGAAGCCAGTGAAGGGATGCGAGAACAGTAGTAATGTGGGACTGACGGCTGATACTTGTTCAAAGTCTGGCAGCTGCATTTTGTACTAACTGTAAACGATTTAACAAAGCTTGACTGAGGCATGTGTAGAGGGAATTACAGTAATCTAGACGGGAGAAAATGAAGGTGTGAATTAATTGTTGATCAGGAAACTTTTGATTTTTGCTATATTTTGTAGCTGCAGGAAACAGGACTGGACAAGTTTTGTCACATGAAGGTCAAATGTATATATGCTGGTCGATGATGATACCCAGCAGTGGGTTTGATAATAGTGCGTAATCGTCCAATAAACTGATCAACTGCAGTGACAAAGTTTTCAGGGCCAAATAAAATTATTTCAGTTTTGTCAGGATTAAAGTGGAGAAAAATAAGAGACATCCAGTCTTTGGTGGCAGCTAAGCACTCATGGAGAGAGGACAGTTGATTCACGTTATTCGGTTTCGCAGAAAAGTAGATCTGTGTATCATCGACATAACAGTGGTATGACATGTCATGGAAGCAGCTGAACAAATGACCCAGTGGAAGCATATACAGGGAGAACAGAACTGGACCAAGAACCGACCCCTGAGGAACACCACACAGCAGGGGAGCAGAGGAGGACACATGATTATTAATGCAGACATTAAAGACTCTATTAGAGAAATAAGAATGAAACCAGTTTAAGGCTGTACCAGAAATGCCAACCCAGTTCTGTAATCTATCCAGTAAAATGGCGTGATCGATGGTATCAAAGGCTACAGTCAGATCGAGAAGAATAAGGATGGAGCTTTTACCTTTGTCAGCATGCATAAGGATGTCATTAGACACTCCTCAGTAATGCTGTCTCGTTGCTATGCTTTTAGCGAAAACCAGATTGGAATTTGTCAAAGATTCTATGACCATCTCCAAGCTTCAGGAGCTGGTCCGCAACAATCCTTTCAAGTATTTTAGATAAAAAGGGAAGTTTGGAGATAGGTCTATAGTTTTCTAACTGGTCTGGATTGAGAGAGGGTATTTCAAGAAGTGGCTGAACACTGGCAATTTTAAAGAGGTCAGGTGCGGACCCTGATGTGAGAGAGGAATTGATGATAGAAAGCAGGCTAGGACCTAAGACATGGAGTATGGTTTTTAAAAACGTTGTAGGAACTGTGTCACAGGGACTGGAGGAGGGATACATATTATCGACAGTTAGAGAGATAGGA